ATAGAATAGAATAGAATAGAATAGAATAGAATAGAATAGAATAGAATTCTTTATTGGCCAAGTGTGATTGAACACACAAGGAATTTGTCTTGGTGCAAATGCTTTCAGTGTACATAAAAGAAAAGATACATTCATCAAGAGTCAAGAATCATAAGGTACAACACTTAATGATAGTCATAGGGTATAATAAGCAATCAAATCATACTAAGAAACAGTCAATATAAATCGTAAGGATACAAGTGACAAAGTTACAGTTATACAGTCAGAAGTGGGAGGGGTGAGTGATAAGGAGTGATGAGAAGACTAATTGTAATAGCAGTGCAGACTTTGTAAATAGTTGGACTGTGCTGAGGGAATTATTTGTTTAGCAGAGTGATGGCGTTCGGGAAAAACTGTCCTAGTGTCTAGTTGTTCTGGTGTGCAGTGTTCTATAGTGTTGTTTTGAGGGTAGGAGTTGTCCAGGATGTGAGGGGTCTGTAAATATTTTCACAGCCCTCTTTTTGACTTGTGCAGTATACAGGACCTCGACGGAAGGCAGGTAGGTAGTAATTATTTTTTCTGCAGTCCTAATTATCCTCTGAAGTGTATGTCTGTCCTGTTGGGTTGCAGAATCAAATCAGACAGTCATAGATATTATGGAATATAATATTCTATAATAGAATATTCTTTTCAGATAGCAAATGTTCCTCTAAAAATTATTATCTTGAAAGAATTTTCAATTTTAGCAAATTGGACTATCAATCCTGGTCCAGAATCACGATTGTATCAAGATTTTTATTCTTTTTCTCCTCTATATTTCTATAACAAATTGAATCAGCTGGGAGTGTGATTTATGTCTAGAGTTGATGGTGCAGCAAGACATTATTTGCTCAGCTAAGGAACTTTACTCAGCTACAGGTACTAGTATCTTGGTACCAATAGCTGGTCTTTCTTCATAATAAAATACCTGCTTGCCCAATTTCTTTTGAGTGCTGGAGAGGAGGGCTAGCACATGCTATCTCCTCTCTTTCTCCCATTAAAAATTTCCATTATAGGATGTGAAAAAGGATATATTATATCAAATAAATGTGGAACCACTAATTATAATCACATTTCATATGCTTCAATAATAGTAAAAATCCTTATTTAAACAAGTGCTTAAGCAAAGAAACAATGCCATGCTGTTAAGCATTATTACTAAACTTTAGTTTAAGTTATTACATATTTATTCTGTTTCCATTTAGAAACATTACAGCACCACCATACCTTGGTATTATCTCTGTTTCATCATTATAACTTTATGGGTGGATCCACAGGTTGCTATATTTTATTTAAACTCCATCTCCACCATCCCCATGATTACGGCATTGTCCAATTTCTGCAGCTGCAGACTTCTGAAATATTTCTTGTTTAACCTGCTCTCTGGAAAACCAAATTAAGGAATTTAATTCCTTAAATTGTTAAAAGTGTAATTTACTTGAAAAGAATTATTTTACACTTGGAGTACTATCTGGAGATGAATTAAATATAAAAATATTTGGTGTTATTTTTGCATGGATGGGACAGAAAAATAAATGCCCTGATTGCATCTAGTAACAGCAAATAGATATTTGCCAGGAACAGGCAGGTTAGATTTATAGACAAAGATTGCATTATATGGATTAAATCATGGCAACATTGGAATTACTGTGAAATTGCCTTTAGACCAGTGGTGGTATTCATCAGGTCTGACCAGTTCTAGAGAATCGGTAGCGGAAATTTTGAGTAGCTCAGAGAACCAGCAAATACCACTTCTGACTGCCCCACCCTCATCTTTTCTTCTCCTCTGCCACACCCACCAAGCCAAGCCATGCCATGAGCACAGAGCCGGTAGTAAAAAGATTTGAATCCCACCACTGCTGTAGACACACCATGATGATTGGGAGTGACACACAACCTATTGTTACAGTATTTTGTATCATATCCTTATTCCTTTCAAAAACAGATCTCATAACATACTGTATTCATATTTCCACACTTTGTGCAAGGACAGTTTCATCCTCTATATATTGCCATCATCAGATTGCTAGATGTGTTAAACTTCCTTATCCATTCATATTCCCAATCCTATGCATACCTCACAAAGAGGCAAAGTAATTACATTGATTTTGTTCTGTTTCCCTCTTTTAGATCACAAAGAAGCAGTGTTGTTGGAGTGGAGCTCTTCGACTGGGATTTACATCCAAGGATCCCTCCAGGATTAACCCAGAAACTCTGCCCAAGTATGCATGCCCAGATCTGGTTTCTCAAAGTGGATTTTGGGCAAAAGCCCTTCCAGAAGAGTTTGCAAACGAAGGAAATATCATTGCATTCTGGGTGGATAAAAAGGGGCGTGTATTTTATCGCGTGAATGATTCTGCTGCCATGTTGTTCTTCAGCGGGGTAAGGACAACTGAACCATTGTGGGCTTTGATTGATGTCTATGGACTGACTCGTGGAGTGCAACTGTTAGGTAGGTACATATCTCAAAACAATATGGCATTGTTGTGAGTTGCTATGGTATATCCTTGTATTCTTGAGAAGAAATACTTTAATTCTTGTCTTATCTGACTTAATAACGACTCTCCAGTGGTTGAACAACAGAATCAGGCCATTTGTAGTGATGTACGTCTCTGAAACAATATAGCCATCCATGCATTTTTATCTCTTGATTTCTGTTTCTAACTCCATATCCTGTTATGCTTATCTTCTAGTCACTGTTTCTTGTTCTAGTTCCAAAGGTCAAGAAGATCAAGAACAATGCAGCAGATTGTCAGGACTCAGCTGGCATTATAAACTTTATAGAGAGTTACTGCAGGCTTTTTGCATTTTATTGTCATTTAACTTTTTGGCATATAGAAACAAAGAAGACTTCTTTAATCCATGCCAAGCCACTTCCATGTGGTACATATGGAGAATGTCCTTCATTGGACGATTAACTAAAGAGTTGGAAGTGAAACGCTTTTAACTTAACTGACTAGAAAATCTGTAAAATGGTCTTTTTTTTTTTTTTAAAAAAAAATCCAACTGGAAAAGTAGGTAGTTCAATAATGGAAAAATATAAGTATTATTGCTCAGGCCTTACATTCTCTAAAGGAGTGCTGTTTGTGTCAGGTTTCCAAGTGGTGAAATCCATTTAAAAAAGAAAATAACAAAGTCCATCTTCCAAGACAAATTCTTTTATTTAGGAAAGCATCAAATTGGCAAAGTCCATGGTAATTCTGGATCTGACAAAACCCAAATTACCCCACAATATTAAAAGTTAGAAACAACCCCCAAAATCACATTCTCCAATAGAAATAATTCAACTTTGCTTGATGTCATAAATCTCCACCTCAAGGGGCCCCAGCACGGACAGCTCATTTCCCACGGGAAGGAGAATCCCCTAGCCAAAACAACTCTCTTTATCTCCACTCCTCCCCCATTAGGAATGTGGCAAGCCCAAAACCCTTCCCCCCATGACTGTCACAGAGAAAGTAAGAAAAAGAATATATACTAAGCCTAACTAAAAGGCTACACATATGTCAATTCCTGGCTTTACTTTTATAAAAACTAGTTCATGCCTGAACTGGATTAATCCATAGCCTCCCTCCCTCTCCCCCCCCCACTTTTTCTTTCTCTCTGGTTTGTGTGTGTGTGTGTGTACTGGAAATAGTTTGTGTCAGATTTCAAAATAGGAAGTTCTGCATGTCAAGGAAATGTCATAACAGCCAAGGCATTCAGAAGCTTCATCAGGCCATTTTGAAGGAAAGGAGGAGAAATGAGATAAGACTGTTTCTGCCTTTGTGCAGTGGCTAATCAAACTAAAGTGGGTTGCCTAAGACAATGTAAAACACAGCGTGCAAACTCGACCACAGTACTTGAGCCAGCATAAGCCAGAAAACATTATTGTCATCTTGAAATAAGAAAATACAGGCAGACATCCTATTTACGATGAGTTGGAGGTGAATAGAAGGCAACATCATTTATTCCTGCCCTCCAGAAATGGTTGGTGGCCCAAACTCATAAGAGGCAAATATAGCTAATGTCCCCAATCCCTAGGGCAGGTTCTGTCATTGAGGAGAACGCAATCTAATGTCTGTTCTATATGTCAGTCTCTTTAAAGTTATTGGGAGACAACTTCCGCATTATCTTTATTGAACCTGTTATTTTCTGCATGCAAAACTTGTGCTCTTTCACAGATACCTAAAATATATATCATCATATAATATATAATCTCCAAATACATTTCTATGTATTCTATGCTTGGTGCCCTTTTTACATTTTTACATTTTGTTTATAAGGACATCAAAGATCAAGCAAACATTTCCAGAATTGGAAGCCAGAAATTACTATGAAAATAAATATCATTAATAAAATATTTTTGTGATGACAGACCATTGGTGCATATTTTAAAATATGGAATGTACTTTGTTCATTTCCCATGTCTTGCATATCTCTGTTACAACTGGGATAGGGAAATTAATTTCAGGCTGCATCCACAAAGACAATTAATTGGTTATTGCTTTATATAAATCTTAGATTTTAAGTGCAATTGCTGATGTTAAAACTACTAGTTTACAAAACTGAATCTGTTTATTGGACTCTGAAAAAAATACTCTTCTGCTTTATTGCATAATAAAGGTATCACAAATAGTGCTCCTTTAATGAAAGTCAGGGTGATGCACTAATTTGCATTCATTTCCATAAAACATTTATTCCAGTAGAACACATAGTGACCCTGAATGATCAAAGCCTTGTCCAGAAACGGAAGGAAATAAATTCAAGAATTGATTTATATAGTATGTATGTATGTATGTATGTATGTATGTATGTATGTATGTATGTATTTATTTATTTATTTATTTATTTATTTGCTCTATACTCGTGCTTTGCCACGAAACTATGTGGTTGGGCTTAGTTTTTGTAGAGGAAAATAAGGGGGGAAAAATTCTGCCTCTGCCTATCAGCATCCATTGATATTCATTAGGCTAGCGTCCTGTCATTGTGTGAGAGAGTTGAGGGCTGTTTGGAAAGTGAAACAGTATTTGCTGTGTGAGCAAGAAGGAGACAGTAAGGAGCCTGGGCATGGCTTAACTCAACTGTTCTATACTAAAGTTGTTTGATGCTGTGAAACTAAAACTGAAACTGAAACTCCTCTCCTCTGCTTGTGTTTTGCACTTGGAACAGATTTCTTTTCAGGTGGGGAAGGGGAGTAGAACTCCTTAGCATCAGAGCATGTTAATAATAATACCCTGTTTCTCCAACAATATGGCCTCCCCCAATAGGAAGTCCCAGCATGTTTTATAGGCATGAAATGAAATTAAGCCCCTCCCCCCCAAATTAAGGCCTATATTAAAACATGCGAAATGGGGGGGAATGGTGGGGGGGCTTGCCGTTAGGAAGTACTTTTGTTGCACACCTGGATATTGTGCTGCCTGCGTTGACCCAATATGAAGTGCCCCACCAACGCTGAGGTCAACATCCAAGCCATCGCTGCCCACCCGCCCAAAGATGCAAGGGGGGGAAATTAAGTCACCCCCGAAAAGACAGCCTAGCCATTTTTTCGGGGCTCAAAAAAAATAAGACCCGGCCTTATTATATGAGAAACACGGTATATGAAATACTAATGATCTGATGGTCATTTTGAAAAATCCTTTCTTAGGGAGCACCTAAAAGCTAAGAGGAACATATGTGCCAAATTTCAAGTTTCCTGGAGATTTTGTGATGATGCATGAATGGATTTTCGTTTTTATATATATAGATTTATTTATTTATGTTTTATGTTTTATTTATGTTTTATTCATAAAATTTAGTTGCCTCTCATCTCGTATCCAATGATTTAACAATAATACTAGAAATCATTATAATTTATTAGAGAGATTTTCCCAATTGTTTGGTCCTTTAGATATATCAGAATGTTTTTTACATTTTATAGCAATCTTCTGACACTGATTGATTATGTGCCATCAAGTGAGTGTTGACTCTTAGCGAGTACAGAGAATGTCTCCAGGACAATCTGTCCCTAACCTGTTCCTTAAAGCAGTGATCCCCAACCTTTTTGACGCAGCGGCCCGGTACCGGCATCAGCTGGGCGCCGCGGCCCGGTACCGGCATCAGCTGGGCGCCGCCATCTTTTTTTGATGAAAAAGTGCTTCCGGTGACCTCACCGGAAG